TTTCATCGGCTCGATTGGGCATCGAGGTGTATTGAACACCTCGGGCTTTTGACCACGTCCAAAGGGCGTATGATTTGATGAACTGGTTTCTAATGGATTGTGGTCTTCACACACTGCTCCATTGCCTTGCAAATCAGGCTTTGACTAGCCGAAGGCTACGGTTGAAAATTCCCCAAGAAAATTTTCATTTACCTGGACAACCTAACAGTAATCTGCCCACAACTCAAATTGTGTAACGTTTTTGTTTTCATAAAGATTAGTGTATCATGCTTTGTTTGGCACACAGTCTGGCCTCAGATGTGCGTGAAACATAAAATAATACGAACTCAGACTGAGGTTTAGAAATGCCAGTTTTCATATATAAAACAAATCTTATGTTCTAGTTTTCAACAATGACCTTATCGAATAGTTCATGTTCTTTTTGAGGAGTCAGTTGCATGAAAATATCATCCGCATACATATGATGTGATGTGACTTTCCTCTTTTAAATCTGTTTTATCCGCAACAATGGATACATATTTTGTTGTATTAGTATGATAACTAAAATACTGAAAACCTTTTAGGCAAGTAAAGCAGGCCAAAGTCCGCGCTATATGAATATCACAAACAAAAGCTTATGTTCTTCAGATTTGCCCGGAAATTATTTCTTGATTTGTTCATTCCACAGCACACTGACGCTTATAACTTTACAGGAAGTGTTGTTATTTGGTGTTTATGTAGAAAGTCAGCATTTCGAGTACTGATATATGAACCAATTCGTATGATCTATTGATTTTTATTTTATATTTTTGACTTCTTTTTTATTGAGTCAATGTTTGCACTTTTCAGCAAGGGCGAACTGGAAATTTCTCGGGCTGTCCGGAGACAGTGTGGCGGCGTTTAGACACCCTGTCCGGGGAGATGTGATCAAGACCACAACCGTTTGAGTATTTCCAGAGGTAAGATATCATGGTTCGGTTGATGCATTCGTGATCCGAATTGCGAGAATCTGTTGCCTAACATAATTTGTTCCGCTCAATTTGCATCTCCCACGCATTCCTGCAAACTACGTCATTCGAAGAAAAGTTATCCTATGAATACAGTTCAGCTAAATAGTATTCAAACAGTATTCCCCCTTCAGGTTTTCAATCATTTACCTACATTATCCGGCCATAGGTTGAGTGAACAGCAGCTGACTGCGCTCAAGTTAGAATAACGCTACTATTTGAATAAGAAAATAACAAATATATGAGATCTTCAAGAATATCAAATCGATAGGCTCCTGGATGCTCGTGTTGAAGCCCTGTCGTGGTGGCTGGGCTCACCGAGCTTGCAAAGATGGATCGCTTGAGGGTCGAGTGCGTATTCTATCTATATGCTCCCAAGTTTGATGCGCATCATGCTAATGAAGATTGGCCTTTTTGGATTAAGTTTCTTGAGCTCTATTGTTCCGAATAGATTCGAGTTCAGTCCTATTCCAATGATTTATATCTATATATTACAAGATGATAACAGTGCAATTGAAAAACCAGAAAATCTGCGTTTAATGGAAATCAATTCAGACTGGGTGATAATGCAACAGGAACAACTATACATAAGAGAAAACTTGGCACAATCTATAATAACTAGAGTATCACAAAAGAACTTAGCATCAAAATTGTTTCACAAAAAAATCTGCGCCCGTTTTGTTTCATTTGCCGCAACAAGAGCAACAAGATGAACAAGAACAAGAGCAACAACGACAAAAAATCCCGGGAAGAGTTTCACTTGGGGGGCAAAATCAGTTTGTATCTAAACACCTGTTGATAAATCGAATCAGATTTTGTGATTACAGATTGTTATTGTTGTTGTTCTCCAGTGAGCTCATCACAGTAGGATGAAACAGGCACATGGACACGATGAGAGTGATCAGATAGAGGACAAAAAACACACGATCCAATGCAAGGCAAATTGTTCGCCATTGTTCACTAATTCGGTGTTTTCTTTCTTCCTCCAGTTTGTCCAACTCGATCTGTTTAATGGTGCTTGTAATGTAGTGTACATCTCTTTCCACTCGGCACAAATCGTTTTTCAACTTTATCATATTTCGCGATTCTCGTGTGTGAGTTGGCAGATTTGTCATAAGTGAGTCTCGCATGGATTGGGCACGGTATATGGGAGGAGGTTTTACCGGACTATTTTGCGTAATCCTGTTTGATCCAAGCAAACGCATGTGAAATCGATTCGGGGGTGAATGCAAACAAGGCGGGGACGGGGATCGAGCTTCCATATCACATTTTGCACAATATTCTCCCAGTCCCTGAAGTGATAGTTTGGATTGGAGTTCCCGCTCCCATTTTTGACCTAATGATTGAAACACAGTACTGAAAGCCTCACTGCCATCCGTAGTGGGTAGGGGAAGAAGTGATTCACGAGATTTGATCAGGAATGAATTGTTTTGGGCGCGTAAACAAAGAACACAGTCATTCGATTGAGTGACTTCGGGATGATACATACTTTGTTTCCCCGTGGATTCAGGAGGCACTTGTACATTGGTCGCCTGTGCTACGTCGGGTAGTTCATAACTTTTCTTCGCCTTAATCGTTTGATTTGATTTGAGAGGTGTTACCGTTTCCTTGGGAAAATGCTGTCCGACTGTGTTTTGGTGGGAATGAACTGAGGTTAATTTTTGTGCTGTGGCAACTCGGAGACACCAGCATGAGTCCGAATCATTCACTGGTTTCGGATCATTGCAGGTTGGGGTAGTCAAAGCTTTCGAAAATGTGTTTCTCATTGAGGTTGATTCACGTGGATACTTTTGGGAAGTTTTACAGTCCGGGGGTATGGAAGATGTTTTAAGCGGTATGCAAATGTACCTCCTCGATTCCTTCGTGTTCTTTTTCCTCTGCTTGTTCTTCTTCTCATTCATAGAATGGTGTTTCGCTATTGGTTCACTGAGGCAACTAGTGTTCACCAGTAGAACTGAGCCGACCGATTTAGCCATCTGTAATGTGTGAAACATAAACAAACACAAAAAACTGCAATCAAATTGTTAAGTTCACCTAACCTTTGTACAAATACGGTTATCTTTTTAAGGAAACTATGATCTCAATTAATTGACGGAGGAATCTTTTGCATAAATGTCCGAAATTCAATCAATTTTTCTAAGCACATTTCCAAATCCATTCACTGATATCTGCAAATAATATTAAAACCATGTATTTCACAGATCGATACAACGGCGGTGGTGGCCCGGTGGTAACGTCACCAAATGATCACCTCGGGGGTGTTCGAATCCAACCACCACTACCACCACCGTCTGGATTTCCCAATTTGTGTGTTAAATGGCAGCTCTTTGATTGGTCGCTTATCCCTTCCTGAAAATTGTAACTTTGTATATACTCAATAAAAGGAAACAAAAATGAACAGAAAAAGATACAAAGAAGGTAAAATTTTGGCAAACTACTTGGTTTCCTAATCCATTTATGATCCTCAATAAACCGGCGGAACCAGTAATCTTCCAATGTGCGAGGCGAACTCGAAGAGAGATTATTTTGAGACTGCGATGTCTGGGATATCGTATGTGTAACCAAAGGTCAAGATTTAATTGAATTAAAGGATTCGGTTCAGTTTGTATTTCATCACCAACTTTTATTGTGTCATTTTGGTTTACTTCATTAAATAACAGTGAATTGCTCAATCTGTTGTATTTTTAAGCATGAAAATCGGAACCTTGTTACACGATGGTTTACTCTGTAAATAGAGTGTTTGTTTTACAAAATTCAGCCAGGCAGTCGATTACTGACAGGAGCTGCAAACTGTCAGCCACGGTTCCGAGACAGAAGACGGAACGGTTAAGGCAATTGGTGATTGATTAACAGAATAGCTATGTGGTAAACTAGATGGTGTTCACGGCTTCATCAAAAGACCAAATGCAGTACATTAAATAAACGAAAAATCAGATTATTGAGGAAATTAGCTTGTCTCAGCCACAACGAATGAAAACCAAAATACCAAGGCGTTAGTGACAACGTTTCGATCCTCTTGGAAGGCCTTTTTCAAGTCGTTTAATCGGTTAATCTCACGTTACAAGCAATTATAAGGCGACGGGATGATGACATCGTACAGAACTCGGGTGTGATTCGAACATGCGTGTATGTGAATGGGCATCTGTGTGTGCATGTGTATGTGTGTGTGTTGGTGATCGTTCAACAGGTGGTTGGGACGAGTGAAATGGGTTTGACCTTTAGGTCAAAACGTGTGAATTGGTCAGTTGGCATTTGAGGTGGGGGCGAGACTATTTTGTATGCACAAGTGTTAATTGTTGCCCTAACTGTGGAATGACTGCCCCATCAGATCGATTGATTACCGTAGGTTCAGCGTTGATCAGGAGCGCTTCGGCCACCAAACGTTCCTTGTGACTTCTGAACCCACGCTTTAGAATGCGCGAGTTTTTGAAATCAACTGGATGTCCTTCGCACATAGCGCGACCAGCGATTGCGGAATCGTGTTCCACTCGATTCCAACCTGCTGCATCATTTGGAACCTTTTTCGTTAGACGCATGTGTTCAGTCATTCGTTTGT